TGCCGAGCAGTGAACTTGAGGTGGCTACCATGATCATGCTTGGATTTCCCATCCCTCTCATGTCAGGTCGGCCTTGCAGTTGCAGGTATTTTGGGTAAGGCATAGTTCCTAAGAATAATCAGAGGAATGCATAAAGGAAAAGCTGTGTAGAGAGTTTATTGAGAGGAAATGATAAGAGTACAGATCTTTATGGGGGGACTTTAGGGATTTTTGAGACAAAAATCTTCTTTCTTTTCCAACAACCTGTTAAGATATAGTTGGCATATAACAGCTGCACCTTTTAAAAATGTGCATAAAATGACATGAGTGAAATAATCTCTGTAATTAAGACAATGTGCATATCCATCATCCCCAAAATATTGAGGGTAAATTTGATTGTGCTCAATTTTTGCTTTATGTGAGATGTGATTCCACTGCCCAAAATTAAAACAGCAGTCACTTGGCCTGTGGGAGTAAATGCCAAGTGTGCAGTAGAGACAGGAAGAACTGTTAGCTGTGAGAGGCTTTAAATAGGAGGAACGCGAACCTGCAGTAGAAACCGATCATTCATTATTGAGTAATAGCTTTCCCCTCTCATTTTTCTATTGCAGGAAGGCTTTGTGATACCTGATGAAGGAGGCCCACAGGAGGAACAAGAAGAGTATTAACAGCCTGGACCAGCAGAGGCACATCCGAATTCTTCACTCCAAATCATGTGCTTAACTGTAAAATACTCCCTTTTATTATTCTTAGAGGACTCACTGGTTTCTTTACATAAGCAAAAAGTACCTCTTCTTAAAGTGCACTTTGCAGAATTTTCACTCCTTTTCCAATAAGTTTGAGTTAGGAGCTTTTCCCTTGTAGCAGAGCAGTATTAACATCTAGTTGGTTCACCTGAGGAGCAAAGAGGCTGAGCATGAGGCTCCCGTGTGGATGCTGGTCACACTGAGGCTGGAGAAGGAGTTTTATGTAATAGCTGAGGTGGTGACCTCAGGAGAGAAATGTAAAGACTGAATTGAATTTTAAACTAATGTGAAGTCTTGGCAGAGAACGTTTTAATAAATAAATGCCTTAAGAGTATTTAAAAATATGCTTCCATATTTCAAAATAGAAAATATAACACAACAGGAGTTTTTATGTGTTTGACATAAAAACTGTGTTCCTCCCTGGGAAGGAAGGGCCAGACCTTGGAACTTTTGGAACCTGCAGTTGCAGGTCTTGTAGGACTGCTTGAATCTTCACAGGCCTGGGCTTTGGCCCAAAGAGGAAATTTTAAGTTTCCCTGTAAAGCCATTTGGTGTCACTGACCAGTAGCATCCTGATGAAAAGCACGAGGCATTGTTGCCTGGATGAATAGAAGGTGTGTTTCAGCCTTGAGTTGAAGAGCTCAATTTTCATTGAGCATTTATCTGACAATTTTTCCAACTACTCCTGAAATTTCTATGTATTGTGTTTTCTTAAGAAATGAGGTGTGTCCAGATTTCTAATCTAA